TTTCGATTTTCTTTCTGCTGTCATTAAAAAATCCAACCGTTTCATTTCACACATGATTCATAATAGCGTTGGTTTATCATAAAATCATAATTTTATCATGTAATACTAATGGATACTAGCTTAACTGGTAAATTATAAAAAATATATATACTATAATACGTGATTATTTATCGTGACATTGTGCATGAAATATGGAGATAACGAAAAGCAATCAAGCTCAAAAGTCCATTGAAACAATACAAATCGGGAAAAGAGCAAACACAGACCTCTTAAAAACATTAGAGGTGGGATAAGGTGCCACGGAGGAGTAAGCATACCCTGTCGATCTGTCACACCCGCCGTGTGCTCATTGTCATGATCGGGTAAACGGAAAAAAATCCGTACACAATTCAGTTTTTAAAAATGGCCTTACAATTAGTATGAAAAACGTCAGTCAGCATTCGACTTAATGATAGATTGTATTTGCTAACGTCATTGTATCGACCATAGAACTTACGAAATTATGACTTTAAACGAGACTGTTGATATCCTTGTTTTACCAACTTGTTTTCAAAAGCTTGCCTCGTTTTAGAAATTGTTCGTATGTGGAGCATGCTCCTACGTATCGATTCAACCGGGAGATATAAACCCCATATGCAAGTGACAAGAGTATATTGTTACTTAAGTAAGGGAAGTTGACGATAGAAAAGTTGAAGTAATCACGTTTATCATAAAGTTTTGTTGTAAGGTTACGATTAACGTCTTTTTCTAGTTTAATAGTCAAATATGAAACAGACATGACATTCGTGGCGGTCAGACGGGTTTGATCTCCGGTGATTATATAGTTCAGTTGGAAGAGCACCTGACTGAAGACGCAGGACGCCCAGGTTTGAGTCCCGATCTGATCCGTCGCATTTTTCTCCTCTTCGGTTACAACTTTAAGATACACTTTATATGAAAATAAACAATTTGCACCTGGTCCGTTGGGCCTATAAATTGTGAATTTCTACATGTTTTTGAGTATTTTAAGTTTTCCAGGCCCTTTCCCTTTACTTCTTTTATGTTTGATACGTTTTTGCAAACCCATTATTTCTTTCTCATGGTCTTTCATTTGCATCTTAATTGCGTTTGTTAATGTTGTCATACGACTGCTTTCATTTTCAAACTTCTCTGACAAAGTTGTCAGATTTTTTCAATTTTGGAATTTTTTATTTAGAGGTCCCCAACCCTAGATTTAAGAATTTTAATAGATTTCTCAATTTCTTTTGATTTTGCCTAAATTGTATGTAGTTTTGATGACTTACTTGTTATAGCATTTTGTTGGTTGACTCAGTTTGTTTCTGCAGCACTACGAGTTTAATTAGTTGACACATCAGTAAGATCTGTTCTTCGAGGCTGCCTTTGGAGTGGAAGTAGCCATAAAATCTGTCATAGAATCCGATTTCGTGGTCGTCGAAGCGCAGGAGTCTGTGCTGTTGATCATCCTTTCCGGCTGTTCATATAAAACTTTGCTTACCTCATTTATAATGCTACTGACTAACGGCCTTTTTTTGGTTTGTTTGTTGTTCGACGCACAGGCACCTGACGAATGGTTTGTGTAACCCACCCACCCCTTCCTTCTGAGAATTTTTTTAGACACGATAACTAAGTAAATATACATGGATTTCTAGTCTTTCATACGTATACTTCGATCGAGAATTTTTCACTCACATAGAGTCGTCACCATATACCGGTGAAGGGCTTCAAATTTAGACCTTTACTCGGCACTCAGGGCCTTTGAGCAGTGAGGGTTCTTTATCGTGCCAACGCCTACCGTGACACGGGGTCTCGGTTTTTAAGGTCTCATTCATAGGACCCGCAACTTCCACTTCAAAGTGCCGCTTCGAGGGAGATTTTCAACGTTAACGCAACATAACCAATAAAATTTATGCAAGATAGTTTAGTAAGATGTTGTCTTACAAGCCTCTTACGTTTACACCCTGTCAAAACGATTTATTTATCCCAAATTAGCGTTTAATTACCCGATTTCCGTTTACTGACAGCCAAACGGAAGGTTTTGATTGTACGTTGTGGAATACATCCAAGGAGTTCCAATTGGATTTGTCATTCCGTTAAACAAAATAGAACGTGATGAAAACGGAAGAGGATATCAATATCGAGGTATATATATATGATAGCCTAGGAATTCATGTATATTTGCTAAGTTATCATGCCTAAAAAATCTCAAAAGGAGGAGAGTCTAGACCAACCATTCATCAGGTGCCTGTAGTTTAACGTCCCTCTTTCATATAGAGACGCTACCACTTGCCGGTGGATTGCTGTAAATTTAGACCTATACTCAATTGGCACTCAGGGTCATTTAACAGTGAGGAATCTTTTTCGTACAGGACCTACTCGTTTTATAAGGTCTCATCCGAAGGACCGGTCTCCTCGTCCCGCTTTGGGATGCAAACCTGCAACGCAAGGATCAACTCCTTACACCGCGACTCATGAGCAAACGCTCTAACCACTGAGCCATGCGGGCGACCAAAGTGAATAGCATGCACCATTACTTTATTAATAAATTGCGCTTTTTTCCACTAGAACGTTTTATCCTAAATCACTCCACAAAAATAACGAGCTCACTGAAAACATGACTGTCCACCATGATCACACACAGACAGGATATGTTTTTTCATGAGTTTATAAATCTAGAAGTTTGTAAGGGGTAATCATTAATTAACGAAGCAAAGAAATATTGGCTTTTATCAAAATCGTTGGGATTTTCATACGGAATTATGTCTGTCTTTAGTTAGATTTTTATACAAAGTGCAATGTGAAAGATTTTTTTTCATGTTAAATTCATGTTTGTGCACAAAATACTGAGAATCGGTCACATCATCTTTCATTACGGACATTTCGATACGGATCGATGGAGATAAACATCTGAGTTGGGCAAAAGTTGATCTCTCCTAGATATGACATGTGGTTCAAGTGTGGAATTAGTTTTAGTTGTACTATCCTACTATAATTTGGGATACAATGAGGAGACTGACCAAGCATTTTACATTTCAAATCAACTCTCTTACAACTTTTTTTACTTTTGAAATACAAAACACTAATCAGCCACCTACTGACGTTTTTCATACTAATTGTTTGGCCATGAATACACTGAATTGTCGACGGATTTTTCCGTTATTTCCCGATCATGACGAGTGTGTGACCGGTCGGCAAAGGGATGCTCCTGATCCCCTCTCTGATGTTTTAGAGGCCCGTCTCTGCTCTTGTTCATTATTTGTATTGTTTAATGGACTTTTGAGCTTGAGTACTGTTCGTTATCTCCATATATTTCATAGAAAAAATACAAAAAAAAATCGCGAATTTTCATATACGATCTTTTAAAAAAAAAAATTGGATTTTTTTTAATATCTTCCGGAAATGACAAGATTGTTGATATCAAAGTGAAAGTTGTGACCGCCTTTTCAATTTAAAAATTCGAAGCAAGTGTTTTGTTTCATTGAAGGGAAGAACGCAGAATTTGTGTTTTAATCATTTTTGATGATGTAATGGAAGTGTTTTTTTGCAAGCTAACAGAGTTCTTTCGTCGATTAATAGGTGCTGGGGAAAGCTTTTTTTTCATAAAATAGAGTTGATTTATTTTTACGTGAAAAGTTACGACCGCCTTTTTAATTTTAAAACGCCAATATCTTGCATGAGTGTAACATACTTATAATTTAAAAAAAAAAAAAAAGTTATCATGAGTTGTGAATGTTAATTATACAAAAATACTCATATTACTATGACTGGAGGCTTGGGGAACAAATACAAAACGGGCTTGCGGGTTTTCATATAAAAATTCAAAGAAATGGATGTTATGAATATTAATCAGAAGTAAATCACATGGGAACTATCTCATAAATAAACTGCACACCATGTCTCTATATGCTATATTTACATCGAAAAACCTTGTCAATTTGTAATATTTAAGTCCGCTTATCTTAACAGTTACGCTTACAGTAAACATGGTAACACTTCACATAAATAATAAACACCTTTAAGATAATAGGGTGTAGTAAAATGCAAAAATTGAAAAGTTTCAATAGGCTGGAAGAAAGTAGCTCTCGGTGCAATTGAACCAAAATGTAACTATTTTAAAAATTTAATAAATCAGTAAATAAAATCAAACTGACGAACGACTTCATTATTCTTATCAAAAACGCTATGTGTGAGGATCGAACTAAAAGCCTATCGATTCTTCAGTACCTTAATTGGATTGGTAACGCACACTATACTGAGCTAGCATCGCTACATAATGGATGAAGTACCGCATTTACACAATGTTTTTTTTTTTTCGGGGGGGGGGGGGTAATTTTTTATATGGTGTCTGGATCTTCTCTCCAGTGTTTACAAATTTTTCCTCACTTAAATTAAAATACATACAAATAACATTAAAATCGTGCAGAGGTGTCTCGTACCTTTTTTTTTTAAACAAAGTGTTTAAAAATGCAATTTCTTTTGTACCAAATGACTCATCTAACCTTACTTCAAGACATGTTTTAGCAAATGAAGGCACAATAAGGAAAAAATATTCCTATTTTGAATTCATAGAAACCCAATATTGCAACAGAATGCTAAAATATATGACAGATCAATATATTTTTCACTTTTCAAGTGCGCCCAGTTTCCTGTCTAATGCCATTCATGCGCCCTCGTTCTTTGAATTTTTTAAAAAAGTTTATTAAAACGACAATTCATTGGTAATCTTGTCGTAATATTAACCCAAGAAACTTCGAAATTGAAAATAAAGTTCTATAGTGACAAAGGGGGATCATTTTTGAAAATTGGATTCGTTAGGTATCTTGTATAAAGGGGAGCAGGGGGGAGGGATGCTAGACATGATAAAATTCGACTTGATGTTTGTCAGAAAGTCATATAAATAAACAGAAAAGCCAACAAAATCGTCGCTATTCTTTCATATGAATGTCTTTAACAAGTTGCAAAATTTATTTTATTACTTATCTACTTTATTTATTATCGAATCTATAAATTATCAAAGATGAATACATGAAAAAAATCGTGTTTACAATTGTGTATAGTTGAAAGGTATATGACCTATGACGAGTTTAATATAATGTACATGTATGTACAGTGTTTGTCGCATTAAGGTGGCGTGAAATAATCTTAGAAATAACATTCACATGTCTCACACTGAAATAATATTTGTTAGATAATTCTTTTGCCACGTCTTTGAATGAAGGAAGCGATGTCTGATACGATCGGAAACAGTACCACTGCTATAATGACAATAGTCCCAATAAGCCCCATAGACACGGCACTAGTTCTGCTCTCGTAAACACTGATCTTCTTTCGAATCTCTGTACTGGTTTCCGACTTGTTCACCGTCAGGCTGTTCTTCATATTACGAATGCTTAATAGTAATTCTTGCTGAGTACCAAAACTAAGAGTTGTGGTGATGTGATCATTGTCGAGAGTCACAACTGAACTCTGAGACGTTGGTCGTAAAGTACTACCAAAGTGAACGTTTTGACAGGAAATGACACTGATGTTTTCTGAAAAAAAAGAAAGTAAATGAAAAGGTGAAGATAACGAACAATGGTCGATCTCTAAAAAACCTACATACAATACAAATCTGTGAACAAGCCATAAAACACAGACCCCGGGAAATTCCAGAGGGGATCAGGTGCCAGGAGGAGTAAGCAAGTAAGGACAAAAAAGGACATCGAGTGCTAATTATATATGTATCACGCAATATAATAAAACTATAGTTAAATTTCTCTCACTTCCGGAAGATCCACTGCATACAGCTGAAAGAAGAACGAGAAGTCTCGGACGAGACTATAGCTCTACTGATGTGTACTTATAATAAAGAAAGATGTATCTTAGTATAGACTACTTGTGTACCAAATCTAATTGAAACCTGACCGAAACTGTAGGAGGAGTAATGTTTTGAGAGACTTTCAAAGCAATTTCTATTTACACTAACAAAACATGCACAAAGCAGCATCGATTGTTTGGAAGAATTTCAAAGAAATTCACTTAAGTAACCATGGCAACACTGTCGAAATCAAAAACTAATATTTAGAACTATGTATCTTAGTATGCCTTAATTGTGTACCAAGTTTTATTCAAATCAGACCAAAACTGTAGGAAGAGTAGAATTTCTTTTTCTTCCTTTACAGTGCAGGGCCTTGTGGGCATCATTGCACTTTGAAAAAAAATCAGAAAAAATAGTATGTTTAGTAACCATGGCAACATCATAAAACCGATACATGTATTTGGAATTATGTGTTTTAGTATAGTCTAGTAGTCCTGTGTACTTAGCCTTATTTAAATCAGAACAATACTGTAGGAGGAGTGGTGTTTTGAAAGAATTCTAAAGAAATAATTTCTTTCTTTAGTGGCCATGGCAACAAATTTTGTCGAAATCAAAAATCAGTGCTTAGAATTATGTATCTTAGTATATTCTACTTCTGAACCAAGTCTTGATGAAATCCAAATCTGTAGGAGAGGTAGCGTTTTGAAAAATTGTTTACAGACAGACTGACGACGGACAACTCACTAATGCAAACTCTTCTGGTCTCTGACCAGTAGAGCTACACCGTTTGCTTGCCGCAGTTTGTTTATATCTGATACATGTAGAACAGAATACCCGATTCTTAATACAATCCCTGCTAGAATACTGTGTATTAGAAAATTTAAGGGGGTCGAATGATGTTTTTAGCCAATCAATATTTTGCAAATCTGTCTGAAGCGGAATGAACACACCCATGCTGAGGATATTCTTTTAAAGAAGAATAGGCACAATGTCAATTATATCGTTCTCAATTTAAATTATCCTACTGAAAATGATTGATAGTGCAATACCAGATTCTTTGACATGCAAAGACCCTATTATGAATGGAGCTGTTGTGACCATTAAAACAAAAGTCTAATTCATTAAAACCATTAAAAATTGCTCATTTATTCAACTCTTATCCTTATTTTGCTTGGTTCTTTCAGATGAAATAACCATATCCTGAACTAATGCTTATTCAAACATAGTCTGTAGAACAGAATATTGTTATTATCTAATAGGGTATGTTACCTACCCACAACAACCCGATCAATCACAGGACAGGTAGAAACAGGATATGTCTCTTTTCTGCTTTGTACAGCGACAATATTGTTATCGACACTTACTGTAAAGAGAACAATTGCCAGTAAATAATCAGAGATAAACTTTTTTTAAAAATCCAGGAAACGAAACAAATAGAGAACGTTTAGCAGTTTGTTACTTGTGAATGAATACAAGAAAAAAGCAAAATTCGATCTGAATGCATTGTGATAATGTTGACATTTTTCCAATACTAGGTTTGAAAAAAACTTAATTGGTGCAGATGATATTGGAGAATATGAGTGTAAAGCCATTTAATGATGACTTTTTAGATCACTCCAAATTTTGTCATTGTCATAAATTCTAAACCCAAAGACATAGCTTCTTATATGAATCGAACTAACAGTCCATCTCCCGCCTCTGGTCAACAATTAAGTTTTAGTTCTATTATTGCTAACTTTTTTCATGGCTAAGTTCACTTATATTAGCAATCAATCAAAGTATTAGTCGGTAACCTTACTGCCAAAAAATTAAAAACAAAAACAAAAACAACAAGCCAATTCAGAGAATTTGTCTTCCCCGCTTAAGGAAAAAGGAAGATCATGCGCAGATCGGGGGGGGGGGGGGGGGGGGGGGGTTCGGAACCCAACCCCCTGGATTTGCATAATTATTAAATGTATACTGAAGCAAAGAAAAAATGCCAATATCGATATATAGATTTGATAACTTATTTTTTAATATGTGTACAGAAGATTCTCTTTATATACAAGTAAAATATTTATCACACCGTAATAATGATATTATGGGAAAGTTTGTATACGTCAGACGTCAAAACTTCTTCATTTAATACGTTGAATACTATCATTTAGTAAATCGGGGGAAAAACATTTCAAAAGGAAAAAAAATACGGGATCGTCCAGAATTTGCTAATATGCTAAGCATATCTCATATGCTAAACAAGAATCATACCCCTATATCAACGAGGCGCTTGACTTTAAAGGAAAGTAAATGCAAACATTATGTCATATATACATGTTTATATTCACGTTCGTTATTGTCAAAATTTTACACAACACATGGTGTGTAATTTAGCCTTTACTAAACAGAATATAACTAAACATAATATAAAGTCCGCCGACAACTTGCATTATATGTAATAACTCTCCACATGCTCCTGTGCTAAAAATAGTGCCACGCGACTTCTAATACAATTTAACGAGGTTCGCTCCTGAGCAAATTTTTGTATTGACCTATATTTCAAAAAGTCTGCATAATGTTTTAGTTCTTACAATCAATTTGGATTCTACAATACAAATTTAACGATATTCAGTTAAAACTCAATAATTAAATTCCATACAAAAAGCATTAAATGAGGAACTATATTTTGTGGCGGATGGATTTGTAGAAGAAAATGATCATTTTTTCTCTTTCGAAGTATTTAAAGTACATTTAGTTTGGATTCTATTTTTCCATGCAGCCTGCACACAGAGTTATTCTGTGCCGTGAACTGTTTTATACTAGCTGGTCCTAAATTATATATTAAATAAACTATCATGAATTCCATCATCATATTTGATAAATATAGCAAATATCCAGAAAAAAATAGCCCAAACTTAAGTTTAAAATTAGCACTATTTTAGTAATATCTAAAAATTAACATCACAAACCCCCACTTTAAATTTTCTTTTCTGAATATATAAGATATTTTTAACCATTCTTCTTAATTCAGTAAAATGTCATTACTTTTAAATGATTTTATTGCTTGTTAAAATTTTTAATGCCAGAAAAATTATATTTTCGAGTGCAAAAAGGTCAAATAATTTAACATGCGAAGTAATTTGAACATTTTTTGTTGTCACAAATTTTAATGTGTCTATTCAAGATGAAATAAGACTGTGTTTTTTTATTTGAATAAAAAATATTGGAGGAAAAAGTTTAAAAATTGATTTATGTGTAAGACGTATTTACAGTGCAAAAAGGTCAAACTCAATGCTCTGTAGCGCAAAAAGAAGCGCATTGACCCCCATATTTTTGTTTTAATTTTTAATTAGCTATGTGTGTAGATTCTAAAAATATACTTGATAAAAAATTCTCATTACTTTTGATGACAGGATCCAACCTCCTTAAAAAAACGGGGAGGGACACTTTGAGAGGGGCGAGAGAGGCCATAAAGAATTATGGTATAAAATTTCATTGCAAAAGCTTCTTGAGATATCGCCCGGAAATGAAAGTGTTATACAAAAATAGAATGTATGAATTAACGACCTTGACCTTTGACCTTAAAATCAATAGGGGTCTTCCTTAGGCCACAGGGAGCTGTTATGTAAACTTTCATTGCAAAAGCTCAAAGGCTTCTCGAGATATCGCACGGAAATGATAGTGTTAAAACAGAAAGAATTTATAACCTTGACCTTTGGACCTCAAAATCAATTGGGGTCTTCCTTAGGCCATAGGGAGTTGTTATGTAAACTTTCATTGCGAAAGCTCAAAGGCTTTCTGAGATATCGCTCGGAAACAAAAGAGTTACAGACGGACAGAAATACAGAAAGGACGGACAGACAAACAGACCAAAATTAATATCCCCCACTTTCAGTTGAAGCGGGGGACAAAAAAAAAAAAGAAATTTACAAGCTGCAGAGAAACTGGAACATCTTAGGGAAAAAAACCAAAAATATGGATATTGTCTCGTAAAATAGATTTGAAAAAGAATTATGACAGGAGGATTTCTATTTGCAATTTACAACAGATATGTTTGTTCGATTGATTATTATACGTCCTTTGAAAATTTTTCTCTCATATTGAGACTCCACAACTTACCAGTGGAGGGCTGCAAATTCAGACCTTACTCGACACTTACAGCCCTTGAGCAGCAACGGATCAATTTCACCCCAGCACCTACTGTTACTCGGAACCTCGGTTTAAACGGTCTCACCCGAATGACCGGTGTCATACACTATATTAAACCTTGCGATACTTTGAACCAAGGTTCATCACATGCTCTAAGTTTATCTACTAAGCTCTCAGAAGAAAAGAAGAATTTCAAAGCATTAATAAAATTTCACAATATAATCAATAAAGCCCGGTCCTAACACCAGAACCTCTTATCCGGGGACATGAAATTCAAAATTTGGGAAGAGGCACCGTTGCTCATTAGAACTATTCACTTCGTTTGTTTGCTAAAACAAAAACCCAGGAGCAGAGAAGGAGATTTTCAAAGAAATAATGTGCTTTCACTATATAATAAATAGAGCCCCACTCCCTTCCTAGAACTCCTGACCATGGGGCCCCAAATTTCCCAGATTTTGGAAAGGCACTTTTGGTCATCATAACCATGCACATAGTTTATCTGCTAAGTACCCTGGCCCCAAGACCATAAACTGAGAATAGACGTGAGTCAAAATTTTGATTCTCGGTATCTTGAGTTTTATTTTACATGACATTGTATGTTTCGAAATTTGTATGTTTGTTTACTATCTTAATACAAACAAATTTTGAAAATGTTGTAAGATTATCAAAATTATTCCAGAAGTTATATTCAATTGAAATTCTGACTTAAGTCTGTTCTCAGTTTATGATCTTATAATCAATAGAGCCTCATCCTAACACCATAACCCCTGACCCAGGTGCCATGAAATTCACCATTTTAGATGAAACGTTGCTTATGATAACTATATACTTGGTTTATTTGCTTAATGCACAGGAGAAGAGAAGAGTATTTTCAAAGAAATAATGCAAATTCACTATATTATCAGTAGTGCCCCGCCCCCTCCTGCAGAACCCCTCATCCTGGGGCCTCAAATTTCACAATTTTGGAAGAGGCACCATCTAGTATATCTGTTTCTTATGTACCTTTTCACTATATGATCATAAGAGCCCAACCCAAACTCAAGAGCCCCCCCCCCTTTCCTTCAGAACCCTTGACCCTGGGCCATGGATTTCACAATTTTTGTAAAGGGTTAAATGCTTTATTATTACAACAATGCCAAGAGTTTGACTGCTTGATGTCCAGGAGTAAAGAACATTGTTAAAGATAGCATTACTTTTGATGGTTTTAACCCCACCCTTAAGTGGAAGGACCGTAAAATTTACAATTTTAGTTCCAACTCACTCATAGATGTTCTATGCCAAAATTGGTTCAGGATTCAAGCGAAGAAGATGAAAATGTTCAAATGTTAACGGACGACGTACGTCACATGACGACAGACGAAAACAGATAGCAATAAGTCACCGGAGTGACTACCCACTCCTCCTAACTAGAAGTTTAGTAGGCCCCTCCAAACCATAAAAAAACTTTTGGGGGGTCAATATTTTGCAGCCATGAACCCCCTCCCAACCATTGAAAAAATATAACTGGGGGTCAATATTTCATAGCCACAATATGGAGTTTTAATCTATTATACTAGTATATGAATTAATAATGGATGTGTTTCAAATGCCAGCCGAGCATATCTTGGGTTTGGGGACGGGCATTCTAGTTATATACACCCACCCAGTTTGTTTACCTTTCATGCAGTTCTTTATGTATAAATTAAAACCAGTTGTGGACCTTCTTTTCGGTTTTTCTCTCCCCATTATGAGATTACACGATGACGTGATGTTGCTTGGTATCAGTATTCCCCAACAACTTGTATCAGCTGTAAAAATGTTGTCACAAACCGCTTTGCAGGACTCGACATCTGCTGCTATTTCAAGCAAAGAGACCGATGAATTTTGTATCACATCCGTCTCGAGTAGACTGAGGTAGGGACAAGGTGCTGTAAATAAAACGAAATTTGATATTCTTAGTATATAAAATCACAGCTTCGTAATTTGTTTTAATTGAAATTCCATTTTTGTCATGTCCAATACATTTTGATAAATTGAAGTGTTTGTTATTCTCTGCTATTTCAAAATCAAGCACGCTATTACTATAACACTTTTTTTTTATCTTTAAAAGGTGAAAATCCAACCAAAATCAAGTTGTTGATATTTTCATAGCACTGACATATTCGTTTAAAACTCCGACACCGAAGAGTTCTAGCAATGATCTGATTCGAATACTTCGTATTATGGTTCATTTCTATAGGAAACATAGTAGAACGAAGTATTTGAAGCAGACTATTGCTGTATATCTTCGGCGTCGGAGGTTTAAACGAATATGTTTGTTTGTTTGTTTGTTTAACGTCCCTCTCGAGAATTTTTCACTCATATGGAAACGCCACCACTTGCCTGTGGAAAGCTACAAATTTTGACCTATACTCGGCACTGAGGGCCATTGAGCAGTGATGGATCTTTTTCGTGTCAACACCTACTGCGACACGGGACCTCGGTTTATACTGTCTCATTCGAAGGACCGTTCTCCACGTTCCACAGTGGATAAACCCGCGACGTAATAAATGAATATGTCAGTGCTATGAAAAAATCAACAACTTGATTTTGGTTGGATTTAAACCTTTTAAAGGTAAGAAACGAAAAATTTATAGTGTTAGGGAATTAAAAGGATGTCCAAAGCGAAAAGTTGAAGCGGACAGAAAATTAATTTCAGCCCGTATTGATCAAAAAAGTCAGGGCAAGATTTCCCGAGTCACCTTGTGTGATATTGGTCTGAGATTCCGAAGAGACTCTGTTCATAATTTTCAGTCTCGACGAATCTCGCTGAGATTATTTGTTTATCTATCACAACCTATATTTTTTTTACTGTAAGAAATAAATATGAAGATAACGAAGTGATCAATCTCAAAAGTCCATTTAAACAATAATACAAACTATGCGCAGAGCAAACATTGACATGATAATAGCATAAAATTGGCCCAATTCATACCCTGATAACGAAAAGTAATCAAGCTTATAAGCCCACTGGAACAATACAAATTTGGAGCAAACACCGACCTTTGAAAATATCAGAGATGGGATCAGGTGCTATGGAGAGTGTTTACCGCTCACACTAGGAAGTGAGCCCCTCGTCGTGATCGGATCTATGTCAATGATAATTCCGATGCTTTCTGCAGATGATGCTGCATGTCGCGATGACGGACATCAAAATTGATTTGAAAAAATATGTCGAAAAAATAGTCGTGGTTTTAATCTCGTCTATGGCATATTTATAATAAAATTTACTACTAATTATTTGCTTTAATTTTTCTTAGTACTCTAATCATCCCGAAACTCGCATCGAATTGCCTTTAACCTTACATACTCCCCTTCCAGGGAGCACTTCTTGTAAACATTCGTAAAGTCAGAACTTAAAATCTGATATTCATGATTGTAATGTTTGTTATTACAACTGGCATAAGGTGCCAGGAATTCAAAGTCTATCTGTAGTTAAATAAGACCATCGAACAACTTAAAAAAATTCAGTTAATACCCTTTTCTTCTTAAACAATACGATCTCGGGTTTAAGTATTAAGCTTGAAAATACTATGTAGTAATGATTAGAGTTATAGCGAGCGCAGCGAGCGGCGCGAAGCGCCGCTCGTCACTGCGAGCTCTAACGACAACGCCTGGGCGAAGAGAAAATTCGGACTACTGCACATTCTTTCAATAGAATTTTTTCCGCAGTAATTCTGACCCACAATGCATCGCTTCTTGTTCTCGCTGCTAACTTCATTCACGCGGTAACAACAACTAAAATTTCACAAAAAATAAACTCACCTTAATTTGATGGATATTGCATGCAGATAGTAGATTAAACGTTCTTTGTTAAAATATGTGCACTTTTTAAACTTTGTTTATGGAAATGCAGCTAACATACGTCATGTGACGTCACAGTCTAGACGTTCCAAATGTCTCGTGCGGTTTGAAGAGGCGGATCTTAAAATGAAGTCAACAATGCGCTCGCCCCAACGGTCGCACCGTCAACATATTAGAGAACCTGTGATCTTAGAGCGTTTTCTTTGACCATGTTCATTTAAAAAAACGTATGAGAACTTTATCTTAGAAAACTCATAAAAACATCAGTACACTGTTTATTTGATAGACATTTTTTTCTACAATGCGACATTGATTTTCACTTAAAGCTGACTTCCGAATAGTCTGTTTATTCTCCGACGCATTTTCAAACCATAACAGTGGACCTTGAAATTTAGCAAGTTTTTATACATTTCATAAACATAAATTGTCGTTAGGTAGATTATTGCAACTGTCACAAACTCAATCAGTTTGACTTTTTTTCAAGAATTTTATATATAGAAATAAATTTCGAGAAAGGATAGGGCTTTCATATTTTATTCAAATCACCTGTGACAAGACCTTTCAGTATGTACTATAACTATTTCCCTTATGACCTTGACCTTTGGTGACAATTATGGGGATTTTATATGTAATGTGTGCAGACAAGGTTTGAATGTTTCATGGTGTTTGACGTTTCAGCAGGGATTATTCACTCTCATCTAGATAATGACCATGAGGTGCGTGTGTTCAGATCCCCCCCCCCCCCTTATCGTTATTATTCTAACATAATTATTAATAATAAATTATTCTATTTCTGGATAAATTTGTGTCTCTAATCGTCTTTCGAAATTGTCTATCCATTATTTCATATAAGAGATATAAATATCAACGCATTCAAAGAGAAATTTTTCACAGAAGTGGTAATGGACATTGGAACATCGAAATGAGCACATATGTTATCTAATTTTTACAAACATTCGAAGAGAACCATTTAATCGATACCTTTTTGTGTTTCGCAGATGTATGGTCTTGGTATATTACAGTCTACAGTTCTCCAATGGCCGAAAAAGATCCTAACACATCTCTGAGTGGATGGCTTGTCAGGCTCATTGCCCACCGAGTCCCAGATCGTCCAATCCGATTGAGCCAATGGTCGACAGTCGTTCCAATAAAATGCCGTGGTGCTTCCACTGTTCACATCATGAAGTCCAAGCCAGTAATCCCCCGTTAGACTAAAGAAATAAAAATTGTAACTGCTTTTAGTAAATTTAAAAAAAGGTAAAAGGTCATAGCTAAGCTTTAAATGTGTTGCAAAGCTAAGGACTTTTATATTTTACGTTCATGAAAGATGAATGTGTAAAAAAAATTGTTTGTATTGGTTTGTACAGCTTAAATCTTAAAATTAGCATCAAAATAACAGTTTTTATAACTTACAGGTCGATGTCCACCGAAGACAATAAGTTTGTTATGGCGTTGAATTTTTCTGGTGTGTCTAAAGTCAGCATATTCTGCCCTTCTTGTTCACATAAGTCTTTTGCTTCGTTCCAGGTCACTGCCTGACTATACACTCTGATGTCGTCCAGCTTCAATAACTGACCTGATATTCCTGGAATGACTTTTTGTCTTTAGAAAGATTATTGGCACAATCTCAATCACAGTTTGACCTAATTTTTAAGAATTTAAAATTTGGTAATAACTTTCGGATAAGAAAGGATATAGGGCTTTCATCATGACTGAAAAAATTAAGTGTAAGCACGTGACAGAAGTGGCTAATTGCAGCTACGCTCCTAGACTTCTCATATTGTATTAATAGTCAGTAGGTTATTGTGTCAATCTGTGTTAAATATTGATAAACACTGAAATACTATATTTTTATAACATCCCATTAAAAGCGGAAAATCTTTAATAAATATATTACTAGTATATATAGCTATCATAATGGCAAAAATATGCTAGTCGGGCTAGCAAGTATGATCACGTAATTTCGACCCATGAGCAAATTACCTTTAAGGGGCTTTAACGAAATAAAATAAAATTAGACTATATAATTCAATTTAAGCATTGCTTCAGTTATATTACTATCGAAGATATTTAAGTCACACAGTTCAAATGATATGTGCAATATCTTTTAAACAAATAAATGAAATAAATTAGTCAGACAACAAAAGCAAATTTGGTATTAAATTTAATCAAAAAACGAGTGGCATGTGTGACAGTAAAAAGAATTTTCCTTATAATGCATGGTTATAATGCTCTTGATTATGCATGTTTAATGCACCTATAACTTGCATCCGATTCTGTCACACTGCATCCAAGGTAGATACATGCTCACCTTTCACATCACTATCATCCAATTGCTACACACTGCACACAATACAGTTATTTTGGTGACATTTTCTTTCCCTGTGTTTTTTCTTGTTCTGTTTCGTTTTTTCTTTCTCTTTTGTTTTCTTTTTTCCTTCTCCATTTCCTTACTCCCCCTTTCCTCGCTAGCGATCATTCTTCATTAATAATTTCGTCTGATGTATAATTCTGCGTGATGTTATCTTTTTTTCTTTAAATGGACATATTTTATCTCTTCGGATATTGGAATACCAAGTTTTAAAACTGACACAAGATGAAGAGAGTCATCAGTGGTAGCTAGACTAAACTCCTCTTCTGTCAAATATGGATCAGCAGTCTACAAAGTTACTTCTCCCAGTAGTGTTCAAGAAAGACTGTGAAAGGAATTCGCCAAATCAGATGGTGGAACAGACGAATTCAGAATGTCGGAAGGAGAGACAAATGTAGATGAGGAGACAATAGAGGCACTTGAAGATGAAACAGGAGATGGAATCACAGAAGAGGGTATTGCAGTGGAGGAACTAGCACAAAAAGCTGCAGAAGAGGTAGTGAAAGACGTACAAAAGACGGCTGCGATTGTTCAAGAGGATGTGGCAGAGGAGTTGGTCATCAAAGTTGATTGATTGATTGATTGTATACTGTTTTACGTCCCGTTCGAGAATTTTTCGCTCATATAGAGCATCACCATATACCAGTGAAGGGCTTCAAATAAAGACCTTTACTCTCGGCACTGAGGGCCATTGAGCAGTGAGGGTTCTTTATCGTGCCAACGCCTACCGTGACACGGGGCCTCGGTTTTTAATGTCTCATCCGAAGGATTGAAGTCAGGCAGTGGCGAGAAAATGTGAGGAGAAAATGCCAGAATGTTGATTCGATTCGCTTTGGCCATCTGAAGACGGCCCAGGATATTATGACTTCTGTGTGATACTACTATCAATAGCTGGGGACAACGAGGTCGCAATTTTGAAGAAATACTTCCTCAAACCACTGCTCTTTAAGATTATTGGTCATTCGGGCCTTCTTCTGGAAACTCCAAACGGTGTCAAGAGGACCATCTGCTGTGAAGAACGATGTACTCTAGACTCTGTCTGGTTTTTCCTTTTACCACAACCATAGGTGGCATCCGTGCTCCAAGAGCATTTATACAAACAAGGACAAATATGCTCTCCTGAGATTTGGAAATGCAGCCAGGAAGAGAATGAGATCCTTTTTTTTTTTGGCAAAACAGACACGAAGGAATAATTTTATTGAAAGCTTGTCTGGTCTCATTTCCATATGCATTCTGGCATATCATGGAGATTTAAATCTGTCAATGTCTGGTCATGATCGAGCACTGAAGTATTTGTAGACAATCTCCCAGTTCATCATCCTGGACCGAATTGCAGATAACGTTTCCGGCTTGAGCATGATCCACTCCGGAAACCTGGACTTCAAACCCTTCCACCACGTTTCCAGGAATGCTGTTTTTATAGGAAAGGATAGTTTCCAGCGGTTGAACCAATTGGCCTGTCTTGGCTTTCAACATCCCCCAACTGATGCGGAATCCCATATCAGCTGCCTCTAAGCCGACTTCACGACCTTTTCCTCCATTATAATGGGGATGGCGGGTGGCTTTCATAGCCTTACCCAGACTTTATTTTCCCGTAACGTGGTCGTGGATTGTTCTTCTTAGTACAGAAAATTGCTGCAAAGCTTTCTGTTATGACATCTCTGCCTTCACTGCAAAGACAGCTTTTTCAAATTCTTTAGAATCATAATTTTGGTAGAATTTTTTAAATTTTTTTTTTGCGATCGTCTATAAAAAAAGATATTAAAACCATTCTATTTTATTCTCTTATCCAAACAAAATTAAAATGATTGCTATCTGTGTTGAACGTCTCTTTTTATTTGACAAGTTTATCATCCCCCTCTTTTTTCTTTCTCTGCAAGTGTGTAGTAATAATTCTTCTTTTACTTGTTGAAATATAAATCAACTCAAATTGATTTTTTAATCACTTTTAAAATCGTAAAAGAAACTGTCATTCAATGAATTTTGTTTACATTGAGAAAAGGGCCTAAAATCATTAATTAAGATACTCTACCTAGTGGTGTTTTAAATTCAGACACCGTTATTTCCGTTGATTTTTAAATCAAATATTGTATTTCTCTATGAAACTTAAAAACCAATGTGCATATATATACTAAATTCCTAAATCTATACTACTATATTAAAATAATAGACTCGAATTTTTGGCCTTTAATACCGATAAATCGGAAGAGTACTGTCTTTTGTTATATATATTTTAAACATAATTGGTACTTGAAGATTACCAATTTGTTTTTATTTTTTCTCAATTAGCCTTCGCTAATTAATAATCAACGAAAATTCCACAAAAAATTCCGGAAATCATCTGGATTTTTTGGATTTTACAATCTTGCGCGTGCGCATTACAATCACGGTAAATCACGGTGTTCAAATCGGAGAAGACAAAAGAAGTACTAAGTAGATAATTATATATTTGTTATTTTATAATTTCTCTAATAAGAAAATAAGAAATCATAAATATATATAAGAAATCATAAATATATTATGAACAGAATATATAGCAAATTTCCAATGAAAATTTACACGTATTTGTATTATCTTTCTGAGTTTATCCATACAAATGTGATATTGTTGCCACGTGGGTAATCATTCGCCATCTCGGAGACACATTTATTATATGTTATTTATGTCTCTGGCCATCTCAACGGGGGCAAAAAGCTCATGATCGTAGGAGCAATATTAATGTAAATACCCGATTTTATTTTATCCTTCCTTTCTTTTATGCTTTTTTGAGGGGAAGGGGGGGGGGTTTACAAGTCCAGCTAGAATCACATCTTAGTGAAGTAAGCATTCTTTTTCCGCCAAAAATTACAATAACATTATTTTCATTTCTTAACTTTGAAACAAATCGAAGTAATTAAATAACGTCAATATAACCCATATTTTCAATTTGAAATGTGTCTAAATGGTTGCAACTTGAATTTGTTCGCCATGTTTACTATTACCTTCACTGCTGAAATTTATAACGCGGTAAATATGAAACATAAACTAAGGGCAAAGAAATATTTGATTCCATGCAAAAAATTCACATTATATTTCTTAGAAGTGCAGTGAAATCAATAGCATTATTGTAGGTTTATAGCTTTGTTATGTAAATACATGTAATGACCTCTGACCCTGGTCTGTCAACAATACGGTGAACACCCCCTGCAATGCTTGCGCCGTGCATTTCCCACGTGAACCATCAAAGAAAGCATTTTATTGTTTATATCTAAATTCAGCTCTAAAAATTTCTTTAACTTTCAAAAAAAGTGGGTGAAATATGTAAATTATTGTTATTGATCTTCAGTACGTTATATAGAAGGGACAGCCTGTTCTTCTAAATATGTAAAGGTTGTCATGGTAACTACGCTTTATAGGTATCAGCAGTGCTGAACTCTTTGTTGTTGTCATATTTTCAATGAATATCCGTAATTTCTTTTATTAAATTTGTTTGGAAAGGTGAAATTTATGTAAGCTCCGGCGTGATTCTAACTCATGACTTGATTTATAGCTAACTGATGGTCAAAGCCATTCTGAGCTACGCCGTTACGCAACAATTTTGCAAAAAAAAAAAGCAAAACAAAACAACCCACCCCCCCCCCCCCAATTATATTCACATTCATTGTTTATCTCAAAAGTACCTTACAATATCAATGTGTCGATGTATCTATTTTGTAAATATGCACATGGGTGCATTCATAACAATGTCAACCCGTGCACGCACGGGTCAAAGTCTAGTATATTATAAACAAGGGGCCTAAGGGCCTTAACGGTCACCTGAGTACAATTCAACAATTTAAAGGATTCATGGAGTATAAAATAAATTAGTTTAATATCTAATCTGCCCCCATTTAACACTATCACCATGCAGACTACTAAAAAAACTCTCTATTTTTAATCCCATATTATTACCTCTCACATTGGCCTTTCAGTCTTTAAGAACATATAATAAGTTATTTTTGTTTAAATTTTATTTATCTATTATTTACAAGTCTACCTGATCATTAAAACTGTGAAAGTACTTTTTTACAATAAAATTCTCGCGTAATCTCTTATTAGTCCCCTACCGGTGAAACCGGAGGGGACTATAGGTTTCCTCTGAGTCTGTCCGTCTGTCTGTCAGTCTGTCCCACTTGGTTTTCCGCACTTTTTTCATAAACGCTTGCAGATATTGAGCTGATTTTTGGTACGTGAGT